AGGCCTCTGATAAAGTCCTCAAAGTCCTTAGACAAAGAGATACTAGCAGTTAGAAATCAGCTAGAGCACACAGAAATGATAAGGCTGAGGGATTGGGGACATGACAAATAGCATTAGCTACATGTATTTGAACCACAGGAAAATCTTACCCTTTGTCAATTGGGGAAGATAGCTTAAGCAGACTAAATGAAGACTACATGGAATAGAATATTGATGGAAGTTTGAAATTTGATGACAACTTGAGGATTTCAGGAGTTGATAAGAATAGCTAGAGAGAAAGCAATGTGGACACCAGCGCTATCATGGGCCTTGAAACTGGCACAGAAATCTGAAATAGGTGGCTGCATTGGCTACCGCACCATAGAGGAGGAACAACAGACCACAGCGGGGACCTTTGTCAGTAATTAGGAAATAACAGCATTTTATTTTGGTGACAGTAGATAGTTCCACCAGTTGAGTACAGGTTTTTAAAACCAAACACCCAGCAACTAAGATAGCTGCAATAACTTCTCTTAACTGGGTGGTCTCAGACAATGAAACCAAATCTGGGGGCATATTTCATGGAAGAATTGTGTGATGCAACAGTATCCAGGTTTTCCATACAGCATAACCACTCATAGGCCAGGGAGCCAGCAGTAAAAGGAGCTGTGCAATAAAGACAGATACAAATGGCTATTATGCAAATGAGATAACTGAGCTCACCCCCTTCTTTTGATTCTAAGGCAATTAGAGCCTGAGTACCCAATGGATCAAGACAGATGCTTTCCAAGTGCCTCTGTGGGAGGATTATTGGAAAACCTATTCACCTCTTGTCTTCTACAGAGGTCTTGAGTGAAGAAAACCACTCAGGGTCCCTGTTCTACTCACTTCCATCCTTGCACATTCTGTAAATAAGGAATCAGGTAGGGTAAGATTCCCATACAATCGATTGGACCATTTTTGCTGGTGGGCTGGATCATTGTGCATTTATAAGACTGTAGTCATGAAAACAGCACACTCTTCTGCTTCCTCTGGCCTCCAAGCAGCTGGTAAACTGAATGTCCTGTTTTTTCTCCCCAAAAGGCAGCCAGGTCTAGAGCTACTACCCCATCAGTCTCAGTCCCTTGTTTGAAACGGGATTTTTCTCTCAGGACTTTTGAATTGTCTATCATACTTCAATTTCTCTGTGGAGAATTGACAATAAGAGAGGTTTCAAATACAGATTCGGGGCATTTTGTATCCCCAACATTGTATTATTTGAACTGTGCTATCAGCTGGTGTTCACTGTATGGGTCTCCTTTGTAGGCTATGTTCAACAACAATGCTGTACATAATCTAAGACAAGGAACAGAGTAGGTGGTGAATTTTTCACTAAATATGGTGTGTTCTTCAAGTTAATGTCCTGGATAAAACCATTTCACAAGTTTCTGAGGATGACACCAGAGGTATTTATTGAACATCTTGAAGAGCTGAATTTCACTTCTCTTTGGTCCAAGAAAGTCTCATAAGAGCCATGATATGGATCAGGAAAATGGCCCCAGGAAAAGGCTGGAAGAACTTACCTGCAGATTTTCTCCCCTAAAGCAGATAGTCACATACAGCTTAACTATTAACCCCTCTGGGTTAACAGAGAAAGAGCAAGCAGAGATTGTCAAATTTCCATGAAAGAAGTTTAAAGATCCTAATTGTACTGCTCCCACCGTGAATTTAATTGCTAAGAAAAGAAATGCTGAACTCATTGATCAGAGTCTAGGACCCTCACTGTTTTTCAGTACACAAAACTTGGGGGTTTCAGTAGAACCCTCTCAGGTATCATTTTCTCTAGCCCAGGTAACTATAGCGTTTAAATCTCATTGAGTAGAAAATTCCAAGATTTTATTTTGGGCTTAAGAGCTCTGGATTGAAGTTTGGAGCCAAAGTACCAGCTACTGAAGTGTTACTTTGCTCACCTTCACCTCTTTGTGGACCTTACAGAAAGGGTAGTTAAGTCAAGGACAGATTTGGGTATCTCTTGGTCCCTTGACCTAGTATCATCCTGACTTCATCACTTAATAGCACCTCAATTTCACCCCAACTTCCAACAGAGTACAAGACTCTAAGTCCTAAGAGTAGAAACAGTAAAAGGAATCCAATCAGGAGCATGGCAGTAAGAAATATGAAATCTAGACAATGAATGAAGACTTGGAAGAGTCCAGCAGACAGTGGATTGTCATTCTAGATTGATTCCTAGGTGTCAGAACCCCTATGAAAAGACTGAAGGTGTGAATTTCACGGATACCCAAGTTTTGCCGGTGACAGAATCAGATAGGAAATGCAAAGGATTTTGGTAGGGGGAGGGAGCAACCCTTTAGTGATCCAAACCTTGTTTTGATAACTAAAATCACTTTCCTGCATTCCCAACTTTGCTTATTTGCTATGTGTTTCACACTAGATTCCAATCCATTTTTCCCTGTTCCCTTATAACCTGACCTTGATTCTGATTGATCACATGCTAACAGTTCCATGTGTTCCACGGGTTCTTTCCTGAGCCAACAGGCCTGGCAGCAGAGGCAGTAATGTAAAACATTCCACTTGTTCCCCTACATTTGCCAGCCATCTTTCACATACACAGGACCATGTGACTACTTTGGGACGATGAAATATAAATGGATGGGACATGTGTCACTTCTGGGCCTAGGTAACGAAGAACCTACATTAGATTCTTCAGCCTTTCTCCTACAGCAGCAGCTGAAAAGGCCACATGTTCCAGATGGTACAGCGACAGTAAAAAACATTGGAGCCTCAGTCAGCCTGGAACCTTGAGTGACTGTGTGGAACAGGTCCCCTCCCATTCTCATATCCTTCTGACCTGCATGGAATCTATAGTGTGAGCAAGAAATAAACTCTTGGTGTATAAAAACCTCTGACACTTTGAGATTGTTTGTTATCTGAGCATAATTGTATTCCTACAGAAGCCAGACCCCCTTCTTCTACATGCATAGCACTTATTTTGTACTCTTAACTTAGTTGTTAATAAATCTACATGTTATACCCAGACTCCTCTCAACTGTCTCTACGGGACAGAAGATCACTCACAAGTCAGCAAGCAAAGCTTTAACTTGCAACCAAATACACAGTAGTGAGCAATGCAATTCAATAAACACAACTATTTTTCTACTGCACAAAACACAGGAAATAATTAAATTTCTTATAGACATTTCTTTATTATATTTTCCCACTTGAATATTTAGAGAATAATTTAAATGTAATGCATACTGACAGCAAGCACAGTATCAAATATTAGGGTTTTTTTTTTATATTTTTCTGTTCTCACCCTTTATTCCTTCAGGAAAAAAATATTTAGATGACCTCAAAAGAAACAATTATTATGCTAATCACAGTATGCAGTAACACATACAAGCCCATACTCAATAGAAAAGAAAGCAACAAAGAAGTGAAAAAGTCTTTCTCCTCAAATCATTTTAATTCATTTTTCCACAGCCATATAAATTTAAAGTATGAAACAACAATAATACAGCTATAGAATCTAGGTTCTCTTTCAAAGCAGCGGCATATAAAACATAGAAAAGCTAAAACCTCAGCACAAGCTTCAAAAGAACAAGGACTGAGAGGATTTTGATGAAGACATGAAATGCACAAAATACAGTACACAAAAATACTAGAATGCATAAAATATAAAGCTACACATTTCAGGTAGAAAGCATTGTAAAATATATAAAATATGCAAGAAATCAAAACCAAAGAGATTTTTCTTAGAGTACCATGAATACACTGGAACTGGCAATTAGCATTTGAAGATGGGAACAAGAAAATAGCAGTTTCCCATTTAAAACTTTATTTCTAGGCTTTAGGATTTCACCTTCTTGACATCCTTCTTTCCAGAGCTCTCAGTAGCTGACTCTGCTTTTCTTTTCTGTGACTAAAATGGAAACAGATTTAATGTTCTGCTCCAATATGCACATTTTTAAATGGCCCAACAATGTTAAATCTAGGATGTAAATGCATTAAAAAAAAATTTTAACATGAATATTCACTTAAATGTTATACTCACAGTTAACGTTCTATATAGCCCAACAAAATATATAACCCAATGTAAAATAACCTTCAAAGATTTTTTTTTTAAGAAAAGACATAAAATACCCATCAAAAATAGTCAGCAAATGTCTACTTACACATGGTACTATAAATGTACTCTCAAAGAACTACTTAAAGTTTTCTGGCAAAATGCTATTTATGAATGTATTATTTTTTAAAACTGTATGATAGATATTAAAATACCATATTTCATATATTCTATGATGCACATTTCTTTTTCACTTTAGCATCTCTGAAATCAGGATGCATCTTACAATTGATGACAAATTAGTTACTTGGCAGCAGTTTTACTTAATGATACATAAAATAATGCTGTGTCTTACAATAGGAAGCATCTTAGACTTGATGAAATATGGTAGTTTACTTAACCACACTCAAATAATATGATCTATTAAAGAATATTTTAAATTGTAGCTATACAAGGCAACCTGACTAGATTAAAATCAAGTCATCTTATTATTCAACAGTTAATTTATTACCAAGTAAACCAAGTAAAGCTTTGCTGTCTGCTCAAAGTTCTCATTTGTACTCATAGTTCCACAAAGATCAGAAAACTTATTTGATCAAATCAGAACTCCCAGTTTCAACCTCAGCCCCATCCCATCCCCCCCACCCCTCTCCTACTCCCCCACGACAACCAGAGTCTCAATTCAAAGGATTTTACTTGCATTATACTTCTGCTTAAAGTCATGAGGAATTTTTTTAAATACTGAGCCCTGTTACTAGGGAGTTCCTAACCATATGTTCTACAGACAAATAGGGAATGCAGTTGTAGTGTATTCTTTTTCTGTCAAAAACAAATTAGCACTTCATAAAAACAGTTTTTATAATAGATATCATGTGGCATTAAACATAATATAGGCATTTTAATTATGTAAAAAAAAATGAGATCTACCTAAAAGTTAGGAAAATGCTGAAAATTTTACCATTGGAGTTTTAGTTGCCCGTTTCTTCTTTTCTGCTCTCTCTCTTTCCTCAATTTCCATATTTTCTTTCTCAATCAATGAAATTAGAGTATTACAGCGTCTCTGGAATTCCTAAACCAAATAATAAAAGACTTTTAATTTCTGCAACTGAGGCATAATCTTTAAAAAATAGTAATTATTTAATGGTATCATATCTGAAGTACAGAATTCCTAAAGTTGATGTACTTCAGAACAATATTCATACAGGATAGTAATAGATTCCACCAAAAAGATGGGGGGGGGGTAAATGTCATTCAATTGGTGAACGGGTAAACAAACGGTGGTCCATCCATACCATGAAATGCTATTCAGCAATAGAAAGGAAAGAACTATTGGTAAACACAACAACCTGGATGAACCTGAAGTGAATTATGCTGAGTGAAAACAGCCAATCTCAAAAGGTTATATACCATATTGTTCCATTTACAGAACACTCTTGAAATGACAAAAGTTTAGGAATAGAGCACTTATCAATGGTGTCCAGGAGCTAGCAAAGGGGGGAGAGTGCGTGTGACTATAAAGAGCTTGCATAAGGGAGTCTTGTGGTGCTGATTACACAAATCTACATGTGATAAAACTGCACCGAACCACACACACACACACACACACACACACACACACACACAAAGCGCATGTTTAACCAATGAAATCCAAATAAGCTGTATGGTTGTACTAATATGGATTTCCTGATTATGACCCTGTAATACAGTTATGCAAGGTGTTACCACTGGTTAAAACTTGGTGAAGGGTGAATGGAACCTTCCTATACATTTCTTTATAACTTCCTGTGAATCATTTCAAAGTAAAAAGGTAACAAAAATCATATAAACAAAAAAGGGAGGAAAGTCTTATTGCCAAAATAAGTTTTGGAAGTATTCAGGTTACAAATGTCACACAGATTTCTTTACTCCAGGGCTTCTCAGAGACTTAAGTTCCTGATGAGCACTGTCAAGCACTAGGTGGGAGATGTAGGATGCAAGCAGTTCCCAAAGCTATTCAACCAGCAGAAATCTCTTCTCAGAGGATGTCTTGCAGGATTAGAGTTCTGAGGAGCGTATCTCAGGAAACGCTGCTGTATTTGTTAATGCAAAGCAAACAATAGCTGAAAAGACTTTGCATTAACCTTGCCAATTACCTATATTTCACTGCCAGCAAATCAATGCATCCAAACTATAAACGGTTTTTATGAATGTATGGTGAGTATTAAACATATGATTCATTAATACAGGTACTCATACATATTAACCCTGTAATACTTAGCTGTATTTAAAGGAAATCATAGATAAATAACATTTTAAAGTATAATTCCTTTTCTATATAAGCAAAAATGTCTGATACATACAAAATAGCTAAACACACAAATGAAAATGCAGGTGTATTGGCAATTAAGAACCCCAACAAAAATATGGTCAAAATATAAGAACAGAAAACTCACAGAAAATTAAAACATCCAAATATTTTAAAATTTTTCACTGAAACTAATGATCAAAGAAATGCAAAGTAAAACGTCATCTTTATCAAATTGCCAGTGATATGTGCGTGCATGTGTATGTGGTGTACAGATCCAGTATTGGCAATAAGATGGGGATATAGGAGGGGGGGCGTGACTGGGAGGCTCAGTCGGTTAAGTGCCTGCCTTCGGCTCACGTCATGATCCCAGGGTCCTGGGATCGAGTCCCACATCGGGCTCCTTGCTCAGCAGAGAGCCTGCTTCTCCCTCCGCCTGCCGCTCCCCCTGCTTGTGCTCTCTCTCTCTCATTCATGCACACACGTGCGCGCACGCACTCTCTCTCAAATAAATTTTTTAAAAAAGGAAAAGTTTAAAATCTACATTAAAAAAAAAAGATGGGATACGGGAACTCTCATTCACTGATGATGGGATGCCAACGTTACTGCCTGTTACAGACTGCATTGCACCCCCCCCCCCAAATTCATATGCTTCCCGCAATGTGACTGTGTTTGAAGATAAGGCCTTTAAGGAGGTAATTAAGCTTAAATGAGGTTGTAAGGGTGGGGCTCTAATCCAACAGGACTGGTGTTTGTTTTTTTTTTAATATTTTAAAGATTTTATTTACTTGACAGACACAGCTAGAGAGGGAACACAAGCAGGGGGAGTGGGAGAGGGAGAAGCAGGCTCCCGGCTGAGCAGGTAGCCCGATGCGGGGCTCGATCCCAGGACTCTGGGATCATGACCTGAGCTGAAGGCAGACGCTTAACGACTGAGCCACCCAGGCACCCCAGGACTGGTGTTCTTGTAAGAGAAGGAGGAGACACCAAGAGGTACCTCTCTCTACACTCGTACAGAGAAAAGGCCATGTGAGAACACAGTGAGAAGGCACCATCTACAAGCCAGGGAGAAAGACCTCACCACAAACCAACGCTGCTGGCACTGTGAGCTTGGGCTTCCAGTCTCCACAACTGTGAAGAACGTCTGTTAAAGCCCCCCCCATTTGTGGTACTCTGTTATGGCATCCCAAACAGACTACTACACTACACTTTTCAGGGCACCTGGCTGGCTCGGTTGGTGCAGCATGCAATTCTCCATGTTGGGCTGTGGGTTTGAGCCCCACCTTGGGTGTGGAGGTTACGTAAAAATAAAAATCTCTAAAAAAACACACTATACCTTTCTAGAAAGCAATTTGGGAATATCAATGAAGCATTTTAAAAATTTAAAAATTTCTTTTGAACTAACAATTCCACTCCTAGAAATTTAATGTAAGGAAATAAGATGTATACCAAAATTTACAGAAGAATGTTTGGAGAAGTCTTATTTTCAGCAGGGAAATACTGAGAACTAAATTTCTGATCATGTGAAAGTGGAGGGGCACCTGGGTGCTCAGTCGGTTAAGCATGTGCCTTTGGCTCAGGCCTAGATCCCAGAGTCCCAGGATTGAGTCCTGCCCGTGTTGCGCTCCCTGCTCAGCTTCTCCCTCTCTCTCTCTGCTCCTCCCCACACTCGTGCTCTCTCTTGCTCTCTCGCTCACTCTCTCTCTTAAATAAAATCTTTTAAAAAAAAAAGAAAACAGAATACACAGACACATCTTACTGTATACATGTATACAGAAAAACAGCTGAAAGAATAGTAACTACAGCAGTATGAGTAGTCAGCAGCAGCTAGCTCTGAAAGGAGGACCAATGCTAACTTTTATTTTCATTTTCATGCTAGACTGTTTTCCAAATTTTCTGCAATGAACATTTAGGTCCTGGGCAACCTGTAACGCTTTTAAGAAATGGCAAATGGTTTTAACTTTCCAAATACAAGCCAGAAAAATGACATACAACATAGGAAATGATACATACAGAAAGATTATCAACTATCCAAGCATTTTCTATTCCTAAAAATTCAAGCCCAAAAGGAAAACCAAAGATAGTCTCTACCCAGAAAAACAAATCCTCCTTAATGTTTTAAAAATACTATTATTTATTAGAAATAACCTTACAAAGCACTGGCACATTCAGATTTCTCCTGCATCCCCAATTACCCAAGGTTAAATAATTTAGGAAAAAGAACATCTTTACTTACCAAAACAATAGTGGTATCTTTAATATGCAGACCAAATACTCTTCATAGCTTCACCCAATAACACACATACAAATTAAACAGCATGTTATTCAATTTATCTATTATAAAAAGGACTAAGTTGACCCTGATGAGATTTGATTGTTGGTTTCTAGGGAGACTATTAGATAGTCTTTATGTGAAGCTGATTCTTGACTCATTAAGCTGTACCCTCTGGCTGTTATTATTCTCAATAAGTACTAGTTGCCAGTGACTGCAGATATCTTCAGATACATGTTCATGGTTCATATGGGTGATTCAGAGGGAAAAAACTAATCCTTTTGAGACTGTCTCATATGCAGGGAAGTAGAACATCTCCAAATGATTATAAATAGACTGTATAGTAAGTTCTTACCTTCATTCCTTTTAACATGCCACTAACTACTCCAGACAGAAAAATACCCTCAAGAGAAAGGCACCAAGGAATGGAAGAGTGTGGATGTTACCTTCTTAGCATAGGTAATGTCACTTTCTCTACAGATACCAACCCCATTTTTTATTCACATGCTTAAGCACTGCCTAACTAAACAGATGGTATCATAAACAGAACACTAGCTAAAAACAGAAATTACAAAGCAAAAGGCCAGATTATCAATAAAATGGTGAATCACTTTTTGATTAACTATGAAAAATTTCATAATATCAAAAGCACCTTCATCTTACATGATTTCTCCTTTCACATCCATATTCTCCTAAATTTTTGTACGTCTTTATATTCTTATTTTCCTGGGGTTACAGGGAATGTGTCTTGTGGTCTCTGTGTCCACAATTCTGTGGTCTAATTATCTTTTACCATTTCCCAATGCTGGATTTAGGAATGAAGTTGGAGCGAGAAAAACAGCACACAAGAGGAAGAGAGAGGATGCAAAAACAATAAAATACCGAAGACAGTAAGAAAATGACAAACGGAGGGGTGCCTGGGTGGCTCAGTCAGTTGAGCGTCTGACTCTTGGTTTCAGCTCATGATCTCAGGGTCATGAGTTCAAGCCCTGCATCAGGCTCCAAGCTCAGCATGGAGTCTCCTTGAGATTCTCTACCTCTCCCTCTGCCCTTCCTTCCCCCATGCTCTCTCTCCCTCTCATTCTCTCTAAAATAAATCAATAAATTTTCAAAAAAATAAAAGAAAATGACAAAAAAACTGGTGTTAGTATCTGTGGCAAAAAAAAAAAAGTATTGTGTTTATACATGTGTGGGAGATACTGGATTTTTAAAAAGTTAAACAAATTTCTTCAGGGCAGGACTTCTCAGAGCTTTTAGTACACTAATGTAGATTGGAAATGTCAAGGGCAAGACAGTATCAGCATTTCCCAAATCTATTTGAACACAGAACCTATGTTCTGCATATCATAGATTTTCATATCCTAGAACAACATTTGGTCGAAACCAACTTGGGAGATGCTATGCAGGGTAAGAGTGATAAAGCTAAGTTTGGATCAAAGGACAAAGGACCTAGACACTAACAGTGAAGAACTTAGGAATTTTACTTAATTTAGCTGACAAAAGGATCTTATTA